CCATGATTAAACAGAATTTAAAACCCTCACACAGTAAAAATAAACAGAAAACATTAAACAAAATAATAACAATTTAAAGCTAGTTCTTTAAGTACTAGCTTACTGGGTTTCACTATGATTCTTCTTCACGTGTGCACAAAGATTATACTTTCTAGTAAAGGAAGCATCACAGCTCAGACACCTGTAAGACTTCTTATCTCCGTGAGTCTGCATGTGTTTCCCAAGACCCGAACTGGAGGTAAAACTTTTACCACAGGTCTGGCAAGAAAAGGGTTTTTCACCAGTGTGTGTCCTCATGTGCACGCGAAGACTGCTACTCGAAGTATAACTAATGCCACAGGTCTGACATTTGTGAGGCTTTTCACCAGTGTGTGACCTCAAGTGCCTCTGGAGATTGCCCCTGTCAGCGAAACATACACCACAGGTCTCACAACGGTACGGTCTTTCCCCAGTGTGAGTCCGAATATGTGTGCGACGGGCATCACCATCTACGAAACAAGCGCCGCAGATGTGACACTTGAACGGCTTCTCACCGGTGTGTGTCATTACATGTTTTCGGAGATTGCCACTGTCAGAGAAAGTAAGGCCACAGCTCTCACAGCTGTAAGGTTTATCACCCGAGTGAGTTCTCGTGTGTCTCGCGAGAGACGCACTTTCAAAGAAACTAGCCGGACAGGTCTGACATTTGTACGGTTTCTCACCAGTATGACTCCGCATATGAACACGGAGGTGGGACGCTCTCTTGTAGGCCGCACCGCAGGTCTCGCAGGTGTAAGGTTTGTCTCCAGTATGGGCCCGGACGTGAGCGCGGAGGTGAGACGCCTTCTTGAAGGCCGCGTCGCAGGTGCTGCAAGCGTGGGGTCTCTCGCCAGAGTGCAGCCGCATGTGTCGCCGGAGGTTGCCCACCAGTTTGAAGGCCGCGCCGCAGGTCTCGCAGGTGTGGGGCCTCTCCTCGGAGTGGACCACCATGTGCTCGCGCAGATGGGCCTTGCTCTTGAAGACCGCTTCGCAGGTGCTGCAAGCGAAGGGTCTCTCATCAGAGTGCAGCCACATGTGATGCCGGAGTTTGCCTGCCAGTTTGAAGGTCGCGCCGCAGGTCTCGCAGGTGTGGGGCCTCTCCTCGGAGAGGACCACCATGTGCTCGCGCCGGTCAAGTACAGGTTGCTGTACTCCTCCCGGTGGCTGCCGTTCACCCCTCTGTCGCTGCTCTTCTTCTCCCAGTGTTTGCCCTTGGTCTCCCCGTGTCTGCTCATCTTCTCCTGGTGGTTGCTCTACTTCCCCCTGTGGCTGCTCTTCACCACCCCGCCGCCGCTCTCCTCCCAGTGGCTGCTCTTCACCACCCTGTCGCCGCTCTTCACCACCCTGTCGCCGCGCTCCTTCTCCCGGTGGCTGCTCTCCCACCGCCTGCGTCGACGCGCACCCCCGCCGGCGCTTGGCCTCCGCCCAGCATCTGCCGCTGCGGTGATGCTGCGCCTGGAGCAGGGGGCTGACGAAGCACAGCGCGCAGCGCCCGCAAGGGAAGATCCCGGCTGTGGGGAGAGAGAGGGATCTTTCAGTAAATCACCGGGGGCAATGGGGACAAAACAAAAACTTTGTGTATGGGATCCGAGCGCGGTAAAATGACGCAATAAACTCTTTTCTTTGCGCCCGCCCTAGCAAGACTCACTGAGGGTGCGCGTGTCCCGCGCGGGGTCCCTGTAGGCCCCGGGGCTGATGCCGAGGTCCCGCGCGTACGAGTCGCCGTACCACGTCAGCAGCTCCGTGTTGGCGGGCACGTCGCGCACCGTCCGGTAGTACAGCCGGCCCCCCAACTGGTACGGCACGACGTTCTCCTCCCCGGAGTGCCTCGCGCAGTTGACGAACCGCATCCAGTTGGACGTCGTCATGTCGAGCGCGTCGACGCAGTGGGTCCGCTTGCCGCCGCGAAGAATCTAGAACGGGAAGAAATGCACATTATCATTTTTTGAAAAGTGCTTGGCAGGTTTACTTACTTTCAAGTGCCGCACCTGTCCCCCCAAAATACTTATAAGTCCGAACTTTTTCCGAAAAAATAGGAAAAAATCGGAAAAAAATGAAATCTTTCCAGAAAAATGTGAAAAATATAAAACTTTTCTAAGAAAAATTCAAGCATTTTGAAAAAAAATAAAATTTGAAAAAATTAGATTTCTGTTACAATTAAGTCCCACCTCCCAGCCGTAGCCCGTCTCCTGGTCGGCCGGCACCGTGTCGCCCTCGTACGGCCCGAAGCGCACCCTCCTGGGCACCGCCTCCCGGGTCCAGACGCCCAGCCCCGCGCCGGGGATCTTGCTGACCAGCACGGCGAGCTGGGGCGGCACCGTGAGCAGCGCACGGTCCGGGTGGCCGACGGCGACCTGAGGACATGAGAAGCGTAACCGTCGCGCACCCTCTCGGACTCCACTCCACCGCACACCCCGATGATGCTCACATACCTCGGTGTCCGCGACGACCAGCAGAGGTCCGTGCAACGGGCAGTCGCCTTCCCACTCCACCTGGCAGTCATCGCAGACTGGAAAACGAGAGTAAACTAAAGTTGGGATACCCGCTTGGACTCACTCCGAACTTACGGTGATCCAACCGCGACTTACAGAGGAGGCCGTCGTTCTCAAACACCACGGACTCCGCTTGGGTCTTCCGGCTCCGGCCCCGCTTGGGGTGGCGTGGGGTGCGCTCGGTAACCCGGGGCTCGGTGACGCTGGGGATGCTGGGCTCGGGGATGATCCTGGCCTCCGACCTCGGCCCGAGAGCTGCGCCTGAGGACGGGGACACATGCGACACTCGGAATGCATTTTAATGTGCGGGCGGGTTGCCTACTCGGCCGGCCCGTAAGGCGCCACAGTCAGGGACGGTAGGCAAACCCGCACATATGCTTGCGTGCGATACAGGGTGAAACAGGGTGGACGGGGCAATATTATCAGCCTGACGTGCGCTCAAGAGTACTTGACGTGTGCTTGAACTTACCCTCGTCGGGCTGGTCGGGGGATGGGGCTGAGGGTGGAGGATGCGCCAGTGCCTCATCAGGTGCCACGGGTTCCCCAAGGCAGCTCCGCGTCTCTGACGGGAACGTCGCTCCCTCCCCTAAAGGCCCTAAAGACGTCTCCTGCTGCTGACGTTTGCGATGCGGATTTCGAGCCATGAAAAGGGGGGGCTTGGTGGTCCAGCCTAAGAAAACAAACCAAGAGTTTGGCAAGTGATTTTGTCGTTTGCCCTCGAGGCCGCTATTGCTACAATAAATAACCGACTCAAAAAATACGAGTCACGCATACTAATCTGTCGCGAAACCTCATTCTTTGTTTATTGCACATGACAAAGAGAGGTTATCCCTCATCGAGCAACGCGAAGTAAACTTATATAACTCACCGCAGCGCCGTATGGTGTCATACTTCCACTTTTCATTTTTCATTTCAATTATTTCGTCGTGGCTAAGTTTTTCCCACTCGGATGGGGAGAAATAACATTTAATCTCCTCATATTCGTTTAAATCTTCGCTCATGGTCAGCTGTGCTATCACGTCACGTTGGCTTTGTAGAGACTGTCTACTGCTATCGCGACAGGTGTGTGCGTTCCAGCACTTCACTTAATCCCAGAAAAAAAGGCTTACTTTTTTTATTTTGGTGCAAATGCCATACCATGCATGTCATTGTTTTTTTTTCAAAAGTAAATGTTAAAAAAAATAGATAGAGTTAAAGATGTGTTGTGTATTTATGAAATGCCTTTTTTGGTGAGTAAAATCTGCTGACTTTTATCGGTACAAGTTGCGTAAGTTATTAAATGAACTGTCAGAGTACAATAACACACCTTTTTATGCATTGGAACAAAGGTATCCCCATTTGACAGTAGCTTAAATTTCTCATGTGTTCACTATGATCAATTGCAGTTATTCTTCTTAATGTTCCCACAGGAATCTCATATTGTTACCAATCAGAATTAAAATGTATTCTTATATGTAACAAAATAATAGTAGTTCAATTTTTCTTGTTCTTGCAAGTTGTACATAAGAACAAACTGTTCTGTTGAGTACCTGATCTTATGCAAAAGGAAAATTAAAGATTGACATTTTCTTTCCCTTAATTCAGTTTATATTATTCAACGTCAACATATGTGTACAACATAACAACAAATCACTAACAGAAGCTCAAATCACAACAATGCATGACAAACCTACCATCAATCTTTCATGATATTGTGAAAAAATACATTCATTGCAAATAGTTTCAGTCTTCGATGAGCAGCACCAGGCAGACTCTGCAGCAAAATTAAGGCAAAGAGGCACTCTTGGCTGACTAATTAGAACAATCTTTATACGTTTACTTTCATGAATGTGGAGGACAAATTCCACAATAATAATAAAAGCAAGCGAATAAAGTTGTAACAAAACTATTTATCAGAGACCAAGCTAACAAGAACTCTATAGCAGGCAATTTATTATACAACATTATAAACTGCTGTGACTTACAGAGTAGCAAATAGTTTTGATCTCTGAACATCCCATCCATTAATTTAATAATGCATGCACAATCATACAAATTTCATAGAGTGACTAAATTTCATTTTCATTTCATTTTCAGTCATATTAGAATAACAATCAATTTTCACACCTGAGTAAGAATGGGTCAAATCTGTTAACAGTTAAAATCAAGAAAAAAACATTTCAGTTCATCGTCGCAAAGTGTAAGACATTTACACAATTTGTGCAAGTCTCAATGGAAAAATTGTAATAAATTACTAAGAAGTAAAGCTCCATTGAAGAAAAAGATAAGTAAACAATTACTGGGTACTGAAGCTCCAATGAAGGAAAAACTAATAAATTACTGAGCACTGAAGCTGCACATTTTTGTCAAAAGGAATCCAAAACCCTCAACAGATTTTTATTTTCCAAGTTTGCCCTCCTTCACCCCCTCCACCATCAACAAGCAGGATTGTTACCTATCTGCTAGTCACCCGTAACATTCATTGGGGCTACAAAAAACTTCCATTCATAATGGTTTTCTTGCATCTAACAAACAACATTCAAACTTACATATCAAACAAAGGACATTTAAACTAAATCAAATGACAGAAAATATTTTTCCTTTGAAAGGAATTCCTTTTACCAAAAGCATTGGTACAAGAACAAGTAAATTTACATGACTCAAGACTGGGCTTTTCTAAGGGACAACTTTTTCGGTATCTTGGTGGAAGGAATTATTGTGAGAGCGTAGATATTCCATCCTGGAAAACGTAGTGTGGCAGATCTCACAGCTAAAAGACTTTTCACCTGTGTGTACCTTCATGTGTCTGCGAAGAGCACCACTCTGAGAGAAACCGACGCCACATGTCTTACAACTGTAAGGCTTGTCACCAGTGTGTGTTCTCATGTGTGTGCAGAGGACGGTGCTGTTAGAGAAACTAGCGCTGCAGGTCGGACAGCTGAAGGGCCTCTCGCCCGTGTGCGTCCTCATGTGCACGCGGAGATTTGAACTGTTGGTGAAACTTACGCCACAGGTCGAGCAGCTGTGAGGTTTGTCACCGGTATGTATCCTCATGTGTGTGCGGAGATTGGCCTTGTCGGCAAACCGTGAGCCACAAGTGTCGCAGACGAACGGTTTGTCGCCGGTGTGAATCCTCACATGGGTGTGCAGATTATTCCTGTGAGAGAAACCTTTGCCGCACGTCTCGCACTTGTAGGGTTTAACCCCAGTGTGTCTCCTCATATGGGTTCGAAGATTGGAAGCCGTAGTGAAACCGGAGCCACAGGTCTCGCAGACGTGGGGTTTGACGCCACTGTGCGTCTTCACGTGCGCACGGAGATTGGAACTCCTCGAGAAGCCCGCGCCGCACGTCTTGCAGCGGTAGGGTTTGTCACCAGTGTGGGTCCTCATGTGCGTTTGAAGATTGGCATTGTCGGCGAAACCTTTGAAACAGGTCGGGCAGCTGTAGGGCCTCTCTCCGGTGTGCGTCCTCGTGTGCCTGCTGAGAGCGCCGCTCTCGGTGAAGCCCGCGCCGCACATCTGGCACACGTAAGGCTTTTCCCCGGTGTGAGTCCTCTTGTGCCGGTGGAGCAGGCTGTTCTCGGAGAAGGCGGCGCTGCAGGTGTCGCACTTGTAAGGCTTCTCTCCGGTGTGGATGCGCATGTGGGCACGCAGGTGGGTCGGCCGCTTGAAGTTGGACCCGCACACCTTGCACGGGTGGGGCTTCTCGCCCGTGTGCACCTGGATGTGGTGGCGCAGGTTGCCCGCCTGCTTGAAGCTCGCCCCGCAGGTGTGGCAGACGTACGGCCTCTCCCCGGTGTGCACCCGCCTGTGGTCCCGGAGCAGGGTCGCCCGCGTGAAGGACGCCCCGCACGTCTCGCAGCGGTGCTGGCGCGGTTCGAGGATCGTCTTGGCTGCGGCACCCTGATGCTGCTCTTCACCCTCCTTCCCTGGCTTTGCAGTGACCTTGGGCGGCTCTCCTCTTGCTGGAGGCGACTCTTTTTTCCCAGCCCCAGCCGGCGCGTCTCTTGGCAGTGCCTGCTCTCCTCGCGCTTGAGGCAGCTCACCCTTTTTGGGCAGTTTTGCGACAGTTGAAAGCTTTTGCAGGCCCCGCGCCGCCGGCGTGCTGTTATACTCGCCCCTGCACCTGCCGGAGCGCCGGTGCTTGTCGCGGTGCTCGGCGCTGGCGTAGCACAGGTCGCACTTCTCGCAGGGGAAGATGCCCGCCTTGGAGGGGCCAGTTCCAGGGGCCGCAGGAGGGCCAGTTCCACGAGCCGCAGAAGGGCCAGTTCCAGGGGCCACAAGAGGGCCAGTGCCGGGGGTCGCAGGGGCTGCAGTTCCAGGGGCCGCAGGAGCTCCAGTTCCAGGAGCCGCAGGAGGGCCAGTTCCAGGGGCCACAAGAGGACCAGTGCCGGGGGTCGCAGGGGCTGCAGTTCCAGGGGTCGCAGGAGCTCCAGTTCTGGGGGCCGCAGGAGAGCCAGTGCAGGGTATCGTAGGAGGGCTAGCTCCAGGGGCCGTATAGGGCCCAGTCTTGGGGGTCGCAGGGGGGCTAGTTCCAGGAGCCGTAAGATGGTCAGTCTTGGGGGCCGCAAGCGGGCTAGTTCCAGGGGCTGTAAGAGGGCCAGTTTTGCGGGCTGCAAGAGGGCCGGCGCGAGGGCCCGTGCTGGAGGCCGCGGGAAGGCCCGCGGGAGGGTCAGTGCCGGAGGCCGCGAGAGCGGCCGCGGAGGTCATCAGGCGAGTCCTGGCCCGCGCGGGAGGGCCGGGTGCCGGGGCATCGGCGCGGAGCTTCGCCGCAAGCCATGGCCTTTGCTTGTCGTCGCAGAGGAGCAGTTCCGCGCCGGCGGGGATGTCGCGCACCGTGCCGAAGTACAGGCCGCCCTCGGACCAGGAGGCGACGACGTTGCCCTCCTCGGGGTGGCCTGCGACGTTCACGAACCTCATCCAGTTGGACGAGGCCATCTCCGTCACGGACAAGCGGCGGTTCTAAAGGTAAAAGTAAACAGTGTTAGGTATTAAACGGGACGACCGAGAGCGAAACCCCGGAGAAACCCTGTTCTGCTGTGGATCGGGCGCTGGGTAGTTTCTGCTCACCTGCTTGTGGGCCGGGGGGAAGTCGCCCTTGTACGGCCCGAAGCGCGCCCTCCTGGGCACCGCCTCCCGGGCCCAGACGGAGCGGCCGGCGGCGCCGGGGGCGCTGCTGGTCTTCACGACGAGCTGGGGCGGCACCGAGAGCAGCGCCCGCTTGGGGTGGCCGACGGCGACCTGCGCGGACAGACACTTGTGAAAAACAATTCACGTTTCGAACACCGCCGCGCGCTCAGGAGCGCGGTGACGCCGCGAGGGCAGCCGCCGCCGCCCGCTCGAGAGCCGCGGGGCGCGCAGGACGCGCAGGGCGGGCCGCTGGCTCCACACAGCCGTACGGCGGGCCGGCCTACCCTGCGCAACGCAGGCGCTTTCTGACGGACACCACTTACCTCGGTGTCGGCGATGACCAGCGGGGGTCCGTGCTGCGGGCAGTCGCCCTCCCAGTCCTTCCGGCAGACGTCGCAGGCTGGAACACGAGGTTGCACAGTGTTACTTTGGATGCACTTTCACCGAAAAGCGCCCGAGGAAAGCGGGTCAACTATGGCCACCAACATGGAAAAAAATGACTTCGTTGTGAGGATCAATTATGTTTGGTAGGCCAAATTCGATAGCTGGAATCGAGAATCCGATACCCACAACCAGAAGTTGGTTGCCACGACCGGACACTTATACGAAGAGAACAAACTCCAGCTTGGTTCTCTTCGTACAAGTGTCGTGGCAACCAACTTCTTCTTGTGGGTATCGGATTCTCGATTCCAGCTATCGAACTTAGCCTACCAAACACAACTGATCCCCACAACAAATTCTTTTTTTTTTTCGTGAACTCAACACACGACGGCACAACTTACAGGGGTTGTCAGCGCCGTCCTCCAACTCGGGCTCGGATATCTCGCGGGTCGTGCCTGAGGAGTAAACGCACGGGTTAAAAGGCCTGTTTGTTTGGATCGTCCGACTCAGCGCAAGACCGAATTTCTTATAGGAATAGGGTACCAGTCCCGTGCATGATATAACAAAAACAATAAGTCGGAAAATGACATTTAACTTTTTGCTAAGCACGAGAAATTCAAGAACAAAGCTTACATTTCTAGTAATGTTTCTTCGGAAAACACCACAGCTCGTCCATCAACATCTTAGATGCGGATTTTTTTTAAAATTTAAATGGCACTTCCAGACTTTATGTTCTTGTTCTATGAGCGGGACAGGTAGTCTATTGAATTATTAAAGGTATTTATTTCCATAGGGTTTTATTAGCGAAAGAACATAGCTGACGCTGCGACGTGTCAACAATTGAGCCGACATAACGAGTCGTTGTAAATAACTTCATCGATTACAAGGAACTCTTGAAACAAAGATAAACTATATAACACAACTAACAAAATAACAACTAAAGACATTATTTAACTAACTTAGATAAACTATAAGAATAAATTATGTTCCCTCTGCACATGTGCGTGGAGATTATATTTCCTAGTAAATGAAGCGTCACAGCTCTGACACCTGTAAGACTTATTATCTCCGTGAGTCTTCATGTGTTTCCCAAGACCCGAACTGGAGGTAAAACTTTTACCACAGGTCTGGCAAGAAAAGGGTTTTTCACCAGTGTGTGTCCTCGTGTGCACGCGAAGACTGTTACTCGTAGAATAACTAATGCCACAGGTCTGACATGTGAAAGGCTTTTCACCAGTGTGTGACCTCAGGTGCCTCTGGAAATTGCCCCTTTCAGCGAAACCAGCGCCACAGGTCTCACAACGGTACGGTCTTTCACCAGTGTGAGTCCGAATGTGTGCACGACGGGAGGCGTTATCTGCGAAACAAGCGCCGCAGATGTGACACTCGAACGGCTTTTCACCGATGTGTTTCATTACATGTTTGCGGAGATTTCCACTGTCAGAGAAACCAAGGCCACAGAGCTTGCAGCAGTAAGGTTTATCACCCGAGTGAGTTCTCGTGTGTCTCGCGAGAGACGCACTTTCAAAGAAACTAGCCGGACAGGTCTGACATTTGTACGGTTTCTCACCAGTATGACTCCGCAAGTGAACACGGAGGTGGGACGCTCTCTTGTAGGCCGCGCCGCAGGTCTCGCAGGTGTAAGGTTTGTCTCCAGTATGGGCCCGCATGTGAGCGCGGAGGTGAGACGCCGTCTTGAAGGCCGCGTCGCAGGTGCTGCAAGCGTGGGGTCTCTCGCCAGAGTGCAGCCGCATGTGTTGTCGGAAGTTGCCCACCAGTTTGAAGGTCGCGCCGCAGGTCTCGCAGGTGTGGGGCCTCTCCTCGGAGTGGACCACCATGTGCTCTCGCAGGTGGGCCTTGCTCTTGAAGGCCGTCGCGCAAGTCTCACAGCGGTGGGGCCTGGCCTGCTCGGCCTCGCTCCCGCTCGCCACGGTTGCAGGGCTGTTGCGCTGGTCCTGGCCACTGCCTCCGGGGAGCTGCTCCTCTCCATGGGGCGAGTCTTCTACTCGGGGCGAACCTTCTCCTTGGGGCGAGTCCACCACCACCACCTCCTGATGCTCAGCCGTCTGTGGCAACTCTTCTACCCTCGGCGGCCCCTCGCCTCCCTGTCGCTGCTCTCCCGCTGCCTCTCGCCGGTCTCCTCCCCCCGGCAGCTGGTCTTCTTTCGTCGACCACTCTTCTACTTCTGGCGGCTCCTCTTTTATCTTTGGCGGCGTTTCCCTTCCCCGCGGCCACTCTTCTTCCTGCAGCTGCTCCTTTTTGATCTGTGGCGGATCTTCTTGCACTACCGGCTCTTCTTTTATTTTTGGCGGCCCTTCGACCTGTGGCGGGTCTTCTCTCATCACTGGCGGCCCCTCTCCTTGAAGCTGCTCTTCCTTTATCACGGGCGGCTCCTCTTCTTGGAGCTGCTCTCCCGTTACAACCGGCGGGTCCTCTCCTTGAAGCTGCTCTTCCTTTATCACGGGCGGCTCCTTTTCTTGGAGCTGCTCTCCCGTTACAACCGGCGGGTCCTCTCCTTGAAGCTGCTCTTCCTTTATCACGGGCGGCTCCTTTTCTTGGAGCTGCTTTCCCATTACAACCGGCGTGTCCTCTCCTTGAAGCTGCTCTTTTTCTATCACGGGCGGCTCCTTTTCTTGGAGCTGCTCTCCCATTACAACAGGCGGGTCCTCTCCTTGAAGCAGCTCTTCCTTTATCGCTGGCGGGTCGTCTGCTTGCTCTTCTTTTACCTGCGCCACCTCCTCTACCACCACCAGCTCGTCTTCCTTTGCCACATCTCCTCCCGCCCGCCCGGCGCCAGCGCCCCCAGGTCCGCTGCACGCTCGCCGCCGTCTGATCTCGGCCATGCATCTGCCTGAGCGCTGATGCTGGTCCATCAGCGGGAAGCTGGTAAAGCAGAGGTCGCACTTCTCGCAGGCGAAGGCGCTCGCCGTGGAGGTGCTCCCTGCCAGGGGGGTGCTCGCCGCCGGGGTGCTCGCCGCCGGGGTGTCCGCCGCCGTTCTGCCCGCCGTCAGGGTGCTCTCTGTAGGGGTTCTCGCCTTGGGCATGCCCGCCGTCGGAGAGTTCGCCTTGGGGGTACCCGCCCTGGTGGCGCCCTCCGGGAGGGCCGCCGCCGTCGCGGTGCTCGCCTTGGGCGTGCCCGACGCGTGGGTGCTCGCCGTCGTGGTGCTCGCCGCTCGTCGAGTGACGGGCCGCGCGGGTGGGAGGGGCAGGTTGACGCCGCGGAGCCCCCTGGACGGCCCACCGCACAGGAGCAGCTCCTTGCTGGCGGGGATGTCGCGCACCGTCCG